GCCGTTTTATTAAATCTTGAACGTCAGAGTGAAACGACCGAAATTGGAGAAATCCCAAGGTTTTACTATTTCATCCTAACAAGCAAGAAAAGATGTAGGCAAATTTCAAGAGGTCGTTGCGAAGAGGAGACTTTGATCTTCGAGACTATGGTAGATTTAATCACGAAGAAAATTTATCAACGTTTTCAGAGGCATCTGAATTTCCATGATCTCCGTCTATCCTTACTTTCCCACTAATTACACGATGTGATTGAACATATTTGAAAAACACAGTCGTCCATCAAAGCGAATGATGCGTACTTTAAACGGGGGCCAACTAGATTGTCATTTTCTTTTTTTTTTTTTTTTTACAAATTTACAACAGTTTCAAATATCGACAATTTTTCAATTTCTGTATGCACGCGTTGCAAATAAATTTACTTATTGAGATCGAATGTAAATAATCAAAGCTGCTACTTTTATTTGTGAAGATTGCTGGATTGCTGGATTTTTGGAGCCACGTAAACTAGGTATTCTTTACTCTCGATATAAGTATCAGGAGACTCCTTTTTTTCAGAACGCCCTGTGGAATTTTTATCTCGAAGAAGAAGTTTCACGGACATAACCCGAGTGTAACCTTACACACTGAATATTTAGAGGGAATAGCATTATATGTACATATAGATAAGGCACACATAAATACAACACAGATAAGACGACGTAAATTATACGCGAGCAAGACATAAAAGCCATAATCGTTCGAGCTTCAAAGACGTTCGAGCTTCAGGAAATTTCGTTTCTATTTGTTTTCACGTTGATAATTATGTAAATTTGTGAATGAGAAGTGGAGTGAAATCATCATTCGATTGTTAGAAGACAAGGAAGTAATTCTACAAACTGGGTTGTACAACAAGTAGGAAAATCATACTTCGTGTAATCACACTTTCGGGACAGTAATTAGATGTGCAAGTGGAGATTTGATCCGTCTATTAAATATTATTTTAATAAAAAACGTATTTTGGATAATCAATACGTTTTTACGATCTATTTAAATTACGTTCTATTTATTTTTGTACGTTCAAATTCTTTAATATCTTATTTATAAATGTACAAAAACTCGTGGTATAATTATAAGTGTTCAATTTATTCCATGAAAAATTAGGTTTAGATGCACAAACTCTTTGAGGAATAAGTGCAGAAGTTTCGTGAATTTCTGTATCTGTCTGATAATAAAGAAATGAAAAACTGCAATCTTTTGACTCTCGATACAAACAAATGACAAAATTTATTTGTAAAATCATTAA